AAATTCCCTCTCTTCCCAGCCAGTCGGTGAGGAGTAGCTGCTGCAGGCTGTCGTAGTGCAGGCTCAGTGCAGGCTCTTGTGAGCTATCGCCACACCAGCAGCCCGGTTTCTGCCGCTGTGGCTTGTTTTTGTGATTCCTAATTTAGTTCTGTCTCCTTTACTTCTTCAGACTGTGAACAGGGAAGCTTTCCCTGCCAGCTCACATTCCCTGTTTCTGTTGTTGCAAATGAGGAATTTAAGTTTTATACCTCAGGAAGGGTATTTGAAGAACTGTACCCTCATATGCTCCTTTTTGGGGTTTGGAACCTCCTGTTTTACCTTTTCACTCTTTCTCCAGGTTAATGGTTTCTCCTTTTGGCATATCTTCATTTATATATATATTTTTTTCCTTAATAATTATTTATTTAATTTTATTCATTCATTCACTTATTATTTTTAAATTTGTCCAGAGAAACACACACACACACACACACACACAGGACATAGGGAAAGCAAACCACCAGGTCTGGAACTCGAACCATGGTCGGCCATGTGGGAGTGTCCAGCACCTTAACCACCACGCGGCCTGCTGGTCCCAACCATTTATATTTCTTATGTTTTCTCTTTGGGTGTTGGAAAAGCCACGATGTATTTTTCTCTCTTTTCCTGTGGAAAATTGCGTTATGGCTTTCCCAGTGACCCAATAGCTTTATTGGATGTTATGTTTACACTCCAGTTCTGAGGTTCTTTGTTGCTTTTGGTGATTTCTGAGAGAAGAGGGGGATTTTGACTTTTTTCTGTCATTTAAGACTAGATGTACTTAGAATGTTTTTGTTGTTGTTGCTTTTTGTTTTTTCCTTTTTATTGTCAGAGAGTGCGTGCCCTTGCCAGAGAGGGAGAGAGAGCCCATCCAGTTGGGCCTACTCAACCCCATTCCCTCATCTTCCACTTGTTCATCCCATCAGATCTCTGGGCATACATGTGCACACGTCCTACTTGTTTTTCAAGCCGCTGGGGCCAGGACCTGAAATTTGGTTGGCATGTGGTGGGTCCAGCTCGCTGTGCATAGGACTGAACCACTGTGTTACAGGGCTGGCCGTAACATGCATTTTTTAGTTAGTATTTTGCATATTCATTTAGTAAAAATGTTTAAACTAGATTAAACTCTATAATTATAAACTGTGGGATGTGCTATTTTCACTTGTTTAACAAATACTTTCGAAGCATTTGTTATGTGCCAAATTTATTCCAAGTGCTTTACAAATACGTTTGCATTTAATCTCGTAATAGTCCTCTGAGGTAGGCGTTCTTTCTGTTCTCATTTTATCTATAGGAAACCAAAGCACAGTTGGAAAATTAACTTGCCCAAGGTTACCTAGTTAATAAGAAATAAGAATACTTCCTACTTTAAAGAATCTTTAACTATAGCATTTGTGGGTCTTGGCATCATCTGTCTCTGTCTTATGCTAATGAATCCCTTGAGAGCAGGGTCCAGGTCTTAATTCACTTTTACATTCCCAGTGCATAGAATACCTGAAATTCAGAAGTCGTTCAATGGCTGTTGTGGGTGAATTAATTTTTATAGGAGTCAGATACTTTTATCTCTGTCTGACTTACTAGCTTGACTTATTCATTCTGTCTGCCTGTTTTTTGTTTTGTTTTTTAAATTTCCCTCGGGGACCAGCAGGTGGCATGGTGGTTAAGGCGCTGGATACTCCCACATGCCCAACCATGGTTCGAGTCCCAGATCTGGTGGCTTGCTTTCTCACTTTCCCTCTCTCTCTCTCTTTGTCTCTCTCTGGTCAAATTAGAATATGTGAATGAATAAATAAACTCTATAATTATAAACTGTGGGATGTGCTATTTTCACTTGTTTAACAAATACTTTCGAAGCATTTGTTATGTGCCAAATTTATTCCAAGTGCTTTACAAATACGTTTGCATTTAATCTCGTAATAGTCCTCTGAGGTAGGCGTTCTTTCTGTTCTCATTTTATCTATAGGAAACCAAAGCACAGTTGGAAAATTAACTTGCCCAAGGTTACCTAGTTAATAAGAAATAAGAATACTTCCTACTTTAAAGAATCTTTAACTATAGCATTTGTGGGTCTTGGCATCATCTGTCTCTGTCTTATGCTAATGAATCCCTTGAGAGCAGGGTCCAGGTCTTAATTCACTTTTACATTCCCAGTGCATAGAATACCTGAAATTCAGAAGTCGTTCAATGGCTGTTGTGGGTGAATTAATTTTTATAGGAGTCAGATACTTTTATCTCTGTCTGACTTACTAGCTTGACTTATTCATTCTGTCTGCCTGTTTTTTGTTTTGTTTTTTAAATTTCCCTCGGGGACCAGCAGGTGGCATGGTGGTTAAGGCGCTGGATACTCCCACATGCCCAACCATGGTTCGAGTCCCAGATCTGGTGGCTTGCTTTCTCACTTTCCCTCTCTCTCTCTCTTTGTCTCTCTCTGGTCAAATTAGAATATGTGAATGAATAAATAAAATTAAATAAATAATTCTTTAAAATATTTCCCTCAGGTTATCATTTTAATGCTGGGGAATTGTTTGCTGTAATATACCTTTAAAAACAGCTACTGTATTCCAGAACAAAATTAGGAAAATTTACTTATGAGCATTGTCAGTGTGCTGATAATGTGTGCACTACTTCCCTTATCTGACTTGCTGCCCATGCTAAGGAGTTATTTTTTTATACCCTAATACTAGTTATTTTTAGGCAGTGTCCTCTCTGAAATAACAGGGGTCCGCTAACTCAGGGTGGCAAAAGTGTGGTGGTCATCTTACATTTCATTTGTTTTCGTTGCTGAGTTTTATTCTATTGTAAGAACATACTCCTGTTTATATCTGTAATCCCATCGATGGACACGTGGACTGGTTTTGGCTACACATTAACAAAGGTGTTATAAATTTTTTTATGTAAGCATTTTTGTGGAGATAAGTTTTCATTTCTCTTGGTAAATAGCAGTATTGGAATTGATATGTCCGGATCGATGTATGTTTGATAAATGCCGAACATTTAATCAAACATAAATCCCCCAAAGTTGTACCATTTTACATTCCCACCAGTCATTTCTAAAGAGTTTCATTGTTCTTTATCCTCACTGATATTTATAGTTATTAGTCTTTTTAATTTTAGCCAGCAGGTAGGTGTATTTATTTATTTTTATTTTGTATTTTTTAAAAATTAAGGGGGCTGGGAACCAGCAGTTAGCGTAATGGCTACGTCACTGGACTCCCACGTAGTCGACCGCGGTTCGCGTCCTGGACCCGGTGGCTTAAAACTCACTCTGGGCGCGTGTGTGTGCGTGCCCAAGATCCCAAGAGGAGAATGAAGGAGAAGGGATTGCGGTGTGGCCATCTCCCCTGGGGGGTGATTTCTCGCTTTCTGTCTCTCTGTCTCTCTCTGTCTTTCTGGCGAGTGCACCCGCCCTATAGCGAAAAAAACCTCTCAAAAAAAAAAAAAAATTAAGGGGGCCAGCCACATAGCATGGTGGTTAGGGCTGTTGGATCCCACATGTCTGACTGTACGGTTCTGGTGGCTTGAAAAACATGCCAGGTGCATGTACATGTGTACCCAAAATTCTGAGAGGAGAGTGGAGGAAAAGGGATTCTGCTGTGGTCATCCCCCCTTAGGAGGTACTTTCTCACTTTCCCTTTCTCTTTTTTGCTGTCTCTCTCTGGTCAGCACACGTGTCTTAGAGCAAATACTTTTTTGCCAGAGGACATGTGTGCGTACTGCAGAGAGACAGAGAAAGAGAGAGAGAAAACGAGAAAGGAGCAGTCATGCCACAATCCTTCCTCCTCTGCCTTTCTGCCTTTTGGGATTTGAGGCATGCATGTACATATCTGGCATGTTTCTCAAGCTGCTGGGTCCGGGACTTAAACAACGTGATCAACTGTGTGGAATCCAGCTGCCTTAACCACCATGCCATAGACTGGCCTGGATGTGTTTATTTTTATTTTTTGCATTCACCATTATGATTATTGATACCCTATCTCCACAACCACAATTAATATTTTGAATAGTCCTATTCTTCTTATCCTGGTGATTAATTTAAATGGACTCATTGTATCATTAGGAAGTCCCCAGGACCACTCAATTCTTTCCCTCCCTCCCTCTCTTTCTTTCTTTCTTTCTTTCTTTTTTTTATTGCAGTCTAAAAACAGCCACTCTGTTTATTTACTGACCAGATTACAAAAATAATCATGGTGGTTACCTTAATTCATCCTTCTAATAAGTCTGTTGATCTGGTCGTCCCTATTGCTGGTATCTCCACCTTCTACAAAATGGGTGGTCTTTTTCTTCATTGCACCACATGGAGAAGATAATTTGAAGGACCACAGGAAGTTATTTGCCTCTTTGAAGCGTTTTCCAACAGTATAGATTTCATGAATCAGTTCCTCCATGCAGATGATGCCAAATTTACCAAGAGATTGAGCAGTCGAAGAGTAATCTGTCAAAGCAATTTGTTTGTTATTGATTTTGTCACAGTCACACTTGTAGGTCAGTTCATTTACTGACTTCAGGTTTGGGTACCCCCTTGCAATATATGGTCCCACAATTCTCAGTATGTTAACTGAGGCCTTGTTGAGCTTAACAAAGGTGCCATTGAAGATCTGGCAAAGACGAAGAAGCTGCAACACCTTTCGAACCTTTGGGCTCACTCCATTGATACCTCTGATCCTGATAACAAATGCCAGCCTGGGTTCTGCAGGTACATAGAAGTTGCCAGCTTTTCTTGCCATCCTGGCCTTGCGAATCTCAGTTCTGTACATCTGTCTATATTCCTTATAATAGTGCTTAGCTTTTTCATAGATAAGCTTCCTCCTTGACTTTCAAAGCATCTTTTGAGCAAACTTTTTTCTCAGGTGCTTGATCTTCAGCTCCGCAAAATTCCTTCACTTTTGCTTAAGGGTTTCTGGCATAGCAGGAACCTTTTTCTTGGTGGCTTCCCCTGCAGCAGGAGGCTTTTTCTTGGTTTCTGTCGCAGCAGGAACCTTCTTTTTCTTCTCTTGAATGTCCTCCATGGTTCCAGCTGGAAAAGAGCCAGTACCACTCAATTCTGATGCCTGCTACAAGTTTGAGAGTCCCCACGATTACCCTCACTTTAATACCAACTGCAAGTTTGGATGTCTTCAAGACCACCTTCACTTCTGATCTGTTTTTTAATCTTGGGAGTCCCCAAGATTACCCTTAGATTTAATAATTTACTAGAAGGACTCTCAGAGTTCACTGAAAGTTTATTCAAGATTGCGGCTCTAGAGCAAAAGCATGCATTTTAAAATCAGCCAAGGGAAGTGGTGCACAGGTCTAAGACTTCCGTTTATAGTAGTCTCTCCCAGTGGAGTTGTACAGAGTACTTACTTTTCCAACAACAATGCGTAACAGTGTGCACGGAACATTGCCAGTTAGGAAAGCTTACCTGAGTTTTGGTGATCAGAGTTTTTATTGGGGTTCAGTCACTTAGACATGATTGATTGATCATGGAGCTGATTTTAGTCATCAGCTCCTCTGGAAGCTGAGCTGATACTGAAGTCCCCTGGTAAATATGATAGAAACACTATTATCAGGTAGAATATTCCAGTTATTACCTCCCTGAAGCCAAAGACAAAAAATAGCCCTCTCTGTGGGCAAGGTTAATCCTTTACTGCATATTTAAGATTCCTCCTTGGTTTTTAAAACTCAAGTACAAAAAATGGTTGCATTAATGATACAAACTGTGACCAAAGTCAGGAAACCTGACTGGTTCAAAAATAGATTGCGATCTTGGTTCTGCTGGCCTCAGGAGCTAACCTACTGAGCTGTATAATCCAAATTCACAAAGAGTATGAAATATGACCTCTGATTATATAATTGAACACTTTTTAAAAATTAATGATAGCAGGACCAGCAGATGGCGTAAATGGTCATGTCGCTGAACTCCCATATAGTTGACCATGGTTCACATCCTGGACCTGGTGGCTTAAAATTCACACTGGGGATGTGTGAATGCACGCCCGAAATTCTTGAGAGGAGAATGGAGGAGAAGGCATTGCTGTGAGGCTGTCCCCTTGAGGGGGCGGGATGATTTCTCGCTATCCTTTTCTATTTCTCCAGTGAGTGCATGCTCCCTATTGGAAAAATCTCTCTCCCTCAAAAAAAAAAAAAAAATTAATGATTGGGTCTTTATCACACTGTGACTTCCTTCTCTCAGCCCTCTAGCTCCTTAGGATCTTGGGCATGTATCCATACACCTGGTGTGTTTTCAGGCCAGCCCTGGAATTTGAACCTGTGGTCGGCCATGTGACTTGCAGCCCTGCAGTTGAGTAAGTTACGGACAGTACCACCAAAGCGAGTTTGGTTTTTCACTTCTTATATCTCTGCCTTCGTGCAGCGATTTTTTTAAGAGTACAAATCCTGGCACATAACAGACAGTTCTTTAGACTCACAATATTCAAGGTAATTTGTCGGTATTACCATATTTCGTTGACTATATAATGCCTATAGTTTATAAGGTACACTGTTATTTACATTCCATTTAGATAGAAGAAATACTGCCAGTCATAATTAAAACATGCATTCCAGTCTCATAAATATTAATATGTAAAAAATAAGTACCTTAGAGTCTATGTAATATAATACATGTGTGGAAAGAATGCTCACCTCATCCCCCAACTTGTAGTGGCCTTCAACTCTTTCGTAACTTTTCTGCAAAACTGAAGTATAGGAAATTATTTGACTCTTTTTCATGTTGAGAGGGTGATCAAAATTTGATTTTTAACTTGTTTTCTATAGTTTTCTCTGTGCCGGTTGTTAGGTTAGTAGACATTTCTCATGTTTACCATGTATTAGTCGTTCTCATAACAGTAGTCAACATCTATGTTTCGCTGTGTGCTAGGCACTATTTTTGGAGTGCTGTATATATTTCAAATAACTGAATGTTCAGGCCCAGCCGTGGTAGCCAGGAGTAGGATAATGGTCTGTGATACTGGAAGCTGTATGGAAGACCAAGGGTCAGTTCTTGGGTCAACCTGCATATGCTGGGTGCCTGTGTACCTGCCTGTGATCCTGTGAGCAGCTCCCCAGGCTGCGGGGTTGCCTTCTGAAGGCTGCGCTGCTCATACACAGTTTTGTGACACACTTAAGGCAGTAGTCAAGTCACTGGAATTGGTACCGAAAGTTTTTGGTTTTGGGGCTTCGTTTGCCTTCCTGCTCTAAAAGTGAAATTTTCAGTCCATTTCTGAAAATAAGTTAGTCAGTAAACTCGTTTTGTTCTGTGTACACTTTTCCCAAAACTTTATGTTCAACCCAGTCCCTTTCTAGGTGCATTTTCTTTTCTGTTAGTGCTTGAAGTTGCTGCTGTTGGCTGGGGAAGGCTAGTAAGGAGATTCACGGCATGAGACCCTCTTAATGGTGCTTCTCTCCCTCTCCCTGTCTCTCACTCATGAAGTAGACATAAATACATCTTTGGAAAAAACCTTAAACTTTACAGTATCCCTGTGAGGTGAATACTGCTTTTAACGCGGTTTACCAAGAAGGGAGCCAAGGCACAGAAAAAGCAAATGACTTGGCCAACGTCAGCCATCTATTAAGTGATGGAGCTGGGTTAAGAGTGTAGGTGGTCTGACTGTAGAGACTATGTTGTTCGCAGTGTTCCCAAGCACATAAAGATCGGTAAAGTGTCCTTTCCCTCACACATCTTACCAGGCAGTATTTGAAGGTGTGTTGATAAATTCACATGAAATTATTAAGTTATACTTTTGGTAATTAATTTTTATTTGTATTTTTAGGACATTCAGTCAGAAGAAGGCTGCTATCGAAAGAGAATATGCACAGGTAAGCGTGGACTCGGCGGTCCCTATGCTGGGTACAGCTTTTTCCTTGACTTAAGGGCAGATGTGGTTGGCAAGAATAGTGTCCCGACATCGTCCTTTTCATTTCTGATGCCCTCCCTGTGATTGCCCTTTTCCTCCCTCTGAATCTTCAAGTGAGAACCTAAGTTACTCCTAGTACAAAGATGGTTGTAGATCTCTGGGAGAAGGCATTATTTACGATAATTGCAAAAAATTTATGAGTATGAAAGATAATCGAGATATTCTTATCAAGTGTGTTTATTCATTTTTCTTTATATCTCAATTCCTCTGCAGTTGATGAAAGGTTACTTTCTGTATTTATTCAGTTAGATATTTAGTTCTCATTATAGCCCTGTTGCTGGAGTAGGCCCTTCAGTGGATGGTATAGAGCTATTGTTAGGGAAATTTACACACTTTCTTCTAAAATTTTAATTAGATCCTTGATTGTGCCCTGACGACTAAATGTGCAAAGAAAAAAATGATGTTGACATGCCATTTTGTGGATGTATAAGAGTTGATAACTATCCTTCCACGTACAAAAACAGTGCAACATAATTTGGAAGTTATGGCCCCTTCAAGCAATTACTTTCCATGTGGAGTGTAATTCTAATTGTAAAAGTTGTATTTGTAGCAACATTTTATTTTTTTATTTGAAAACAAAAATTTATTGCTTTTCCTCCTAAACTTTGAACAAAAATAATAATCAAAGTTTACAGACAGCTTAGCTGAGGATAAGAATGCAAACATTGAACACGTGTGCTGTGCAGCCCAGCAGCGGAGCAGCTCCCAGGCTGCCGGGTTGCCGTCTGAAGGCAGCGCTGCTCACACACCATCTTATGACACACCTAAGGCCTTAGTCAAGTCACTGGTATGCGACAGAAATTTTTTGATTTGGGGGCTTTGTTTGCCTTCCTGCTCTAAAAATGAAACTTCCAGTCCATTTCTGAACATAAATTAGTAAATTCATTTTGTTCTGCTTCCCCTTTTCCCAAAACTTTATGTTCAACCCAGTCCCTTTCTAGGTGCATTTTCTTTTCTATTAGTGCTTGAAGCTGCTGCTGTTGGGCTTCTCTCTGCCCTGCTATAGATTTGAGCAAGTTCTGAGCACTGATGGCTTTCATCTTCTCATTTTCTGGGCCAACAAGCTCAATTAAACCACCAACTCTTTTCTCAAATTGGCCAACATTGTCCACAAAGTTCTTGCACTCTTCCTTGAGCTCTGTGGTCTGCTGGGTGACCTTTGGTCTAGTACCTGCAGCTTGTTCAGCTCATCAAAGTGTTGCCCTGTGTTATCCAGGATGTCCTTGGCCATAACTGTTTCCCTTCCGGGTTCCCTAGGGAAGTTCTACTCTGAAGGGGTGACAGTGGCAGTCAGGAGGAGGTGTGTCATAGGAACAAGGGTGAGGAAAGAATAAAGTCTGGTTGATTGTCACAAGCATCGTTCAGTTAACATACACTTTTTTTTAAAGAATTTTAAAATTCCTTCCTTCCTTCCTTCCTTCCTTCCTTCCTTCCTTCCTTCCTTCCTTCCTTCCTTCCTTTTAATTTGACCAGAGAGGGTTAGAGAGAGAGTGGGAAAGTGAGAAAGCAAGCTCTACCAGGTCTGGGACTCAAACTGTGGTCAGCCATGTGGGAGTCCAGCACCCTTAACCACCATGCCACCTGCCAGCCCCCAGTATACATTTCGTGAGTGCCTGTTACAGGCTGGACATTGCTAGATGCCGGGCACTGAGGCCCAGGCTTTGGTTAGCAAGCAGCTTCTCTCTCCCATCAGTGGTGGCCAGTGCCCTGCCCATTTTAAAATACAGGAGAACATTAGAAAGGACAAATGAACATACGGAATACTCTCTATGTAGCAACTACTCTTCCTGGTGCTTCTGTTATCCCCAGTATAAATCATGAGATTAGGCTGTGATTTTCTATTTTTGTGCTTTGTCAGGTTTTATTTTTAGTTTCATTCTCACTTCATTATCGTTAACTAGGTAGCTGTCGGTATTTGGTTTGATAGTGTTAGAAGAGAATTAGCTATTCCTTGAAAGCTAGATATAAGTCATTAATTTATTAATTCATCCAGTAGTTGTTGAATGCTTATAATGTGTCAAGTGCTTTACATAACAAATAAAATCAGTACTAATATTCGTGTTGAACTGTTTTCCTATACACATGTATAAATACCAGTAATGATAGCTAACATTTATTGACTCTTACTTTGTACCAGGCTCTTTGCTGAGTATTTTACATACGCTGTCAGGTTTAATCCTCTCAATAAAATCCGTGAAGTAAAAATAGTTCCCATGCCCTCTACACATATATTTTCATATATGTACATTCATATACATATTTATAAAATTTGAATGACATTTATGATCTGCTTTTAAAAATTTAATACCAAGTGAAAAACCTTTATTCTTTTGCACAAAATTTAAAGCTTTAATAATCAAGTAAATAAGATATATTGGGTTATCAGAAAAGTCATGATGCATTTTTGCATAGAAAAAATATGTCACAACCATTCTGACAACTCAGTACTTATGATTAAAGCTGTAAAATGTACATTAAACTGCTCCAATAGCAGTCTCCTTATTCAGAAAAAAGATTAAAAGTGGATGCCTATTTTGATTATTTCCATGTCTTTAAATAACTGATTCTTAATTTATTGCCTCTAGACATTATTATTTGATTACTTGTAGTGAGAAATTAACTTATCGAGGTAATCCTTTCCAACCTACTCTTTCCAGTGTAATTGTCGCACTATTTTAGTGTCTTTGTTTTGTAACTCTGAATGATACAGCTAAACTTCTCTTTTTCTGTCAAATATATATGTATTCATTGAGTTTATGTATAATTTTTTTTAACAAACGGCCAGTTTTCCAAATTAATTGTATCATTTTGTGTTCCCACCAGCAATGTGCTAAGGTTGCAGTTCCAGTTATATCCTAGTCAATATTTGTCATTTTTACTGAGTATAACCATTGTAGTGGCAATAATGAATGCTACCACCGTGAACGTATTCTTGTATGTGTCTTTTGTTGGCAATATGAATCTATTCTTTTGCAGTATGTAGATGGTCCTTGGCTTATGATGGTTCTACTTAACAATTTTTTGACTTTACAATGGTACAAAAGAAATACACATTCGAGCACTAACGGGCCGGGGCTTTGGTCCGAGGGTTGAGAAGTATGCGTTTTCCTCTCTAACGGGGCCCTAGTGGGTAGCTGAGATTTCTTCCCATAAGTTTAACTCTGTCCTTCGGCATGATGGATTTGCTTTCAGAGATTCGGAGTGAAGCGTTTGTGGAGGAAATGTTGTTTTTAAGGGAAATGAATAGAAATAACTCGTTTTGAAGAAATCATGGCAAAATCAAACACAAAACATAGAATTTGTTCTCGGGAATCTTCAATATCTTCTCTTCTAGCAAGCTGCAGCCTGAGTGGTAGAGATTCCTCTAACTCTGATGGCTCTTTTCAATATAAAGATAAACTCTATAGTTCTGCTTCACAGGCTCTACAAGCCTATATTGATGATTTTGATCTAAGCCAAATATATCCTGGTGCAAGCACTGGACAAATTAATATTGACAAGGATTCTACAAATATGCCACAGTTCTCCAACTATATCTATAAAGTACACAATGCTTTTGAAAATTCTAATCACAAAAAGCACTCCAACTTCGTATCCTCTAGAAGACAGACTATGAATGATATAGACTCTATTAGCCTAACAACTGATGATCTACTAAAACTCCCAGCAGATCGATCATTTTCTTTCACTTATGTTGGACCTGGTCACCGAATGAGCAAAAAAACACCAAGAAATGCTTTGAGTTCATTGAACACAGAAAAGAATCCAAATTTTCAAGAAACCTCCGCACACATGGACAAGGCTAACTTAGTTATTCCTGCGGGGTACTC